AGCTCTTTTTTCTTCTTTAAACATTCCTGATAAAAATATTCACAATATTTATTTTCTGAAGACATATAAGATTTGGAATATCTATTAGCAAGGTATTTGAACACGAGACCCTCTTCATGTGTGTCGGTAGTACAATCAAGACCTTCATGTATTCTCATGTTCTATGGCATTATCATTCTCATTTCTATGGCATCATCATTCTCACCAACATCTTTGACTCCTCGACATCCAAAATATGGTATAATATTAACAAATGTCTTATACATATCTACTTTGCCTATATTCGCTAATAATACTTTTCTTTCGCGTCGATCCTTAATGAAATTATAATCTTGTATTTCTCTGCCGACCAATACCGGTATGTCCGTCTGCTGCGTGGAGTCTTTCCAGAGCGTCTCTCTGTTAGCGGAGACGACTCCCCGACAGAGCTGTTGCAACGACGACAGCTGGCTCCATGATCTCTTAATAGCGTCAATGTTACCGCCTTCTATCGCTCTGCACACTAGTATGTTTTCGTAGATAAAGTCGCGATCCTCCACCTCCCATGTCTCGTTGCGCCAATTGCAAGAATATATATCCTTGTGGTCGTAATTAGACACTATGTGGTCGAGGAATCGCTGAACACTGTAGGTCACTATGATGCTGCTCTGTAGAGCACACATCTTAAACCTCTTCCACCCCCTCAGTTTACTCATCTGTCTTGTCTCGCATGCATTATTAATATAAATGATTTCCACATATAGGGGTCTCGACTTGTAATTCATTCGAAAGAGCATGCAGAAATCATTATTATTACTTAAAACATAATACACGATATTTAGTACTTTGTCGGAGTTGAACAAGAAGTTGCGCAATTCCTCGTCCGTCCAATACAAACGTAGTTTCGTCGAGAAAGGTTAGGGTGACAAATTCGCTTCGATGTTCGGAGATTATCTTTTCAAATTTTTTGAATAGAACTTTCTGTTAGTGGAATACAAGTATTGGAATGTTCTTACATGATCAACTGATTTACAAAAATAACAAGTAATTGATTCAGGCACCATCTTACAAGAGTTGGTTTAACTATATTGATAGTTCAACAGTGAGTCATTTATTATTTATATCGGGATTTATGGGTTGCACGTTGTATTTATATCTTCCGCCACCACCACCATCATCTCCTTCTCTCCACCCCCCCCAATCTTCTCCTCTGTCTCCGGCAGAGATGGAAGAGACGGAAATTGAAACATTAGGATAATATTTACTTTCGTGCTCTTTTTTCTTCTGTAAGTGTTCCTGATAAATATGTTCGAAATATTTACTTTTAGAAGGCATATAAGACTTGGAATATCTATTAGCAAGATATTTAAATACGAAACAAAAAGCATTGCGAATAATACCTTCATCAATAAAATATTCTTCATATTCGACTCCTCGACATCCAAAATACGGTATAATGTTAACTAATAACTTAGACTTGAATCCTCTTCCATTTAATAGTAGTTTTCTTTCGCGTCGGTCCTTAATGAAATTATAATCTTGTATTTCTCTGCCGACCAATACCGGTATGTCCGTCTGCGTGGAGTCTTTCCAGAGCGTCTCTCTGTTAGCGGAGACGACTCCCCGACAGAGCTGTTGCAACGACGACAGCTGGCTCCATGATCTCTTAATAGCGTCAATGTTACCGCCTTCTATCGCTCTGCACACTAGTATGTTTTCGTAGATAAAGTCGCGATCCTCCACCTCCCATGTCTCGTTGCGCCAATTGCAAGAATATATATCCTTGTGGTTATAATTAGACACTATGTGGTCGAGGAATCGCTGAACACTGTAGGTCACTATGACACTGCTCTTCTGCATCGTCTCGTATATATGTGTTTCTTCAAAGTAAAGAATTTCCACATATAAATGTCTGGATTTGTAATTCATTCGAAAGAGCATACATAAACCATTAATATTACGTGTAACAATACACGATATCTATTATTATGTCGGAGTCGA